GTGTTAGTGAATGTATCGTTTTGATGGAATACGAACTCTACGAAACTAATTTTCAACGATCGAACCGTCAAACATGTTTGTGTATACTTCGAGATCGCATACGCCAAAAATTAAAAAAAAAAAACTTTCTGAGACACAGTAACGGGAAAAACTTATTCGACGGTTATTAACGAAAAATCACGATGTAACGGTTATTTTAACTCCGATTTTTGATGATTTTTTATATGTACACTCCTTCACCCTATATGAATACGGTGAATGAATGCGATCTTCAATTTGAAATATTTACACTAGTGGATATCCCAAAATCTTGTGTTATACTTAATGAAAGTATGAATAAACTGTTTAAGTGTTAGTGAATGTATCGTTTTAATACAACAAATTATTTGCATAAGAAAAATTCATTTTTAAACGAATAATGATAAGTTAAGATAGAATATTTGTGGTGAATTTAGAATATTTATCATAATATTTTATGAACTAGTTGGTCAATTATTTACAATAAAAATCAAAATTTTAAGGATATTATAAACCGAACAATGTTTGATCAAAAGTTTCAAAATTATTGATGTTTGATTAAAACAATTCAAATATAAGCCATCAATATCAAAATGTTCCTAAAATTATATTTGTGTTTTTATTAAGCATTATGTATAAGTTAAATTTTATATATTAAAATATTATAAGAAATAACCTTTTTTTATTTTAACTATTTTTTTTTCTCCTGCGTTTCCATTTTTTCTTTTTTAGTTAAACTCTTTTTTTTATTTTTTTTGTTGGGCGGGAATTTTCCCGGTTTTTTTTGCACGGGGAAATGGATCGGAAGAAAGAATTGGACGTGCGAAAGAACCGAAGCATCGAAATAATAAATAGTTGCGTCGAAATAATAAGTAGTGGCGTCGGTTTTAATCGACGTAAATACTTATTATTTCGACACAACCACTTATTATTTCGACGCCTTGTATTATACGTCGGTTTAAACCGACGCAACCAGTTATTGTTTCGACGCAGGCATTTATTTCTATGCCTCGGTTCTTTCGCACGTCCAATTCCGAGGACACTGCAATTAATGTCTGTCAGAATAACGTCGGTTAAAACCGACGTCATTGTTCTCTATTTCGACGCTAGTTAGAAATGTCAGACTATAACGTCGGTTTTAAGCGACGCAATATGCCCATATTTCGAAGCCTCGGTCACATTCGCACGTCCAATTCCGAGGCCACTGCAATTACTGTCTGTCAGAATAACGTCGGTTCAAATCGACGCAATTAGCCTCTATTTCGACGCTATTTAAATCTGTCAGACCTAACGTCGTTTTGAAGCGACTCAATGTTACCCTATTTCGACGCTAGTCAAAAATGTTGCAGAGGTGGTGTCGCTTTGAAGCGACGTAATAGTTGCATATTTCGACGCTAATTTTTTTGGCATATTTAAGGTTCTACGACCTATTTCCGTCTCTCTCATTTCACTCCCCATTTCACTCCCTTCACTCCCTTCACTCCCTTCACTCCTATTTCCGCACTTCTTCCTTTGGTTTTGCTATGGATAGTAGTTGTGATTCTCAACGTGATGAGGAACTTCATGTGGAAGGGGAGGAGGTCGAAGCTGGTTATTTTTCTACATTATTATTGGATTCGTTTTTTTTTTTTTTTTTTTGTGTTTAATCTTCTATTATCCTTATAAACTGAAAGTTTACATCTGTTTCCAACTTTTTTGGTTTGTTTTAACTGTGGTTTTGTTATGAACAAGGAACTTCTCAACGGAGGCGAGGACCCTCAGTTCCCAAATGGACGAAACAGCTTTGTTCGTTTGATATGTCTGGAAAATGCGTTAGTGATAACTCTAGTGCATTTTCAAAATATGTGGCATCGGAGGTTAGAGACCACAGAATTCTCCCATTGGCGAAGCATTGGCGTAAGATTAAGGATGTAGATAAGGAAGCTTTTTGGAATAGAATTAAGGTATAGGTATTTATATTTTTATTAGAAAATGAAAGAATAATTCAATGATTGTTATAATATTTGACTTGGTTGATTTATTTTTTTTATTTTTTATTTTATGGATGTAGGGAAATATTGTTTTTGAAGATGCTGAGATATACCAAGATTGCCTTTGATCCGCTTTATGACGCTTAAGGTTGCTGAGCATGCACATAAGGAGTACAGAAATAAGTTAAAAAAAAAATATTATACCAACAGAGCTGCAGAGGAGCGTCCCCAGCCTCCTCCTGATGTGAATCCTACCCAGTGGGGTAATTTGTTGGCATACTGGAGTGGAGATAAAACAAAGGTAAACGATGTAGTTTATTTCGTTATAACTATAAATTTGTGTAATAATTTTTTTATTTTTATTTTCAGGAGGTTGCTGAAAAAAACAAGATTAATCGGCAAAAGAAAACAATGAACCATACTACTGGTACAAAATCTTTTGCAAGAAAGCGGCAAGAATATGTATGGATTGTACCATTTGAAGAAATGTTATTTTAAATATTCAATAGTTATAAATTTTAATTTTAACGAGGTTAGCCTAAAATTGTTTGTGTGAAATTTTATTTTTGGTAAAGCGGAAGAAACATGGGAAAGAAGCTGATCCTGTAACCTTTTTTCGTGAATGTCATACACGAAAAAATGAAGCTTGGATTGATGAAGAATCGGAGCGTACAGGGGTAATTTATTTTACTGTGTTGGTATTTCATTATTATTCAAATTTATTATCTATAGCTTATTGTTCTGTTTTACGATTGAATTTTTCTTTTTAAAAATTGTAATGCTAGGCAACAATGGAGAGAGCAATCTGCAAACTTTGATTCAGTCGGGGCAAGAGGATAATGAAGATCTTAGGACCCAAGTGTATGTTGACACAATGGGTCCTGAGAGGTATAATAGAGTCAGAGGATACGGTCATGGGGTGACTCCTGATATGGTTTCCTATGCATCTTTCTTCGTCTTCTACATCAATTTCCTCCAAGAGGTCATCTAACAGTGCAATCGCATTGCTGATGACTCAAAATAATGAGTTGAAATTGAGGGACGAAAAATAACAATAAACGGATTTCGGACCTAGAGAACAAGCAAAGTCAGTTGTTTGCGTGGCTTTTCCAAAGATTTCAGCCACAAGCACAACCACAACCACCGTTTAGCCCGGGAAACCCAACAGTCAGGCCAGAGTCAGCCTCCTCCTCAACAGTCGGGTCAAAGTCAGCCGCCCCCTGCATATCCTTATGCTGGCTATAATCAGCAACCTCCGTATCCTATGTATCCGCTGCCTATGCAGCCCACGCCATACATGCAGCAGCCGCCTATGCCATACATGCAGCAGCCTCCCATGCCTTACATGCAGGAGGAGCCGCCTTATCAAGTGCCAGTATATCGACCCGAGATGGCTGCGCCTTGTCCTGAATTTCCAGCTGGGGGGTTTGCTGAAATGCTTGCGGGTGTTGGATCTGATGTGGACTTGTCGAGGATGTTGGCATCAAATATAGGACCTCAAGGGCGAGAAGGATCTGTGCCACGTTCAGGCGCAGATTCGGTTCCGTAGTTTATTTGGTTCGCTTTTTTGTCGGTTAAATATGATACTTTAATCGTTCTATCTTTTTTGTTTTTTATGTTATGTTTGTAATGTCGGATTTAGTAGTTGTTATGACGGATGGGTTTTTGTATATTTTGACATTATTTTTATTGTTAATTATTTTCATTAATGTATGGACAATATTGTGTATGTTGGCAGACTTTTTTTTTAATTATTTTTTTATTAATGTTTTTTTTTTTGACCTTGAAATTAATTAATATAATTATATAAAATTTTTCTGTTACAATGAATCGAAGAAGAATGCGATTTGTGTGTTTTTTTTTATTATTATTAACAAAGGTGGTGTCGGTTAAGACCGTTATTCGGTTGCATATTTTATTTATTTAATTGTTATTTGGCGTCGGTTTATGGGATATTAAATTGATTTAATATTATTTCAGTGTCATTTAAAAGCGACAGTAGGAATTATATTTTACAATTAAATTGCTAATGAACGTTTCCTTAAAGCGACGTAACGTGTAAGTATGCGTCGCTTTAAACCGACGTTAGTTTAGTGTCGCTTTAAAGCGACGCTATGTAGTGTCGGTTTAAGCCACCAAACCGACGCTAAAGCCCTTTCGTGACGCTAGCAATAGTGTCGCTTTGAAAATGCGACATTACATTGTTTTATGTCGCATTTTTTCCAAAATTGCGACAGAAATCTGATTTCTTGTCGGTTTTGACTCCGACGGTGATAGCATATATTGTAGTAGTGCTTCTTGAAAAAGCCCTAGGTTTAGTTCCAAACTTGGCAACAAAGTTTCACAAAAGAAACATTATGGGCATACATTCATAAAGTGTAAAATAATTTGGGTTGATTTGGTTTCCGAACCTCCAAAATCGAAACGAACCAATAAGGTTCGGTTTGGTTTTTCTTTTTCGGTTCAAATTTTTTTTTAGTTTTTGATTTTTCGGTTTTGGTTCAGTGTTAGATCTGATTTTTTTTTTGTTTTCGATTTTTTGAACACACCCCTAGTCGCAGCACTTTGATATTCTACTTTGCCTTAGTATTGTGGACATGCAGTTATCTCCATGAAGCCATGGTTTTAACCCAAAGCAATTTTTTATGAGTGTGACCGAGAGAATATAATGTTTCACTTATATGACTTGTGATTACAAGTATAGTAATGATCCCTTTGGACGTGAGGTTTATTTCAAGTGACATAAATAATGCATCGGGCGAGGGTACCGATTGTGAGAATGTGAAGAAACGTCTTACATAAATTTTTTTTAGTGAAGTATATAAGTATGGTACTTCCTGTACTTTAGTACCAAGCTACTTTCATCCAGTACGAGAACTGTCATAATCAGGCATTTCACCGAAAGCTTTCCCACAAATCTCTCCACATACTAAATAGAATTATTAGGAATTGGGTTCTACTTATTATTTGAAGCCATAGGAATCCCTTTTTTTCTCACACAAGCATGATCCGATGCTCCCAAAAGAAGCAGGCTCAGTAAAAGAAGCATACGAATACATTATGAATATGCCTGTGCAGCCAAATGCTGTTATTTGGAGGACCTTATTAGGAGCGTGCACGATACACGGGCAGCTCGCCCTTGGAGAGACTGCAAGAGCGCACATTCGAGAGTTAGAGCCCGGACATAGTGGGGATTATGTGCTCCTATCCAATCTCTACGCATCTGAACGCCGTTGGTTAGATGTTCAAAAGGTGAGGAGGACAATGTTTAGTGAAGGGGTGAGGAAAACTCCCGGGTACAGTATTGTTGAGCTGAGGAATTGTATTTGTGAGTTCACTATGGGTGACAGATCTCATCCACAAAGTGAAGAGATATACGCAATGCTAGCAGATATCACACGATTGTTGAAACTGGAAGGGTATGTGCCTCATACAACAAATGTTCTTGCAGACATAGAGGAGGAGGAAAAGGAAAATGCTTTGTCCTATCATAGTGAAAATATCGCAATTGCATTTATGCTCCTTAATACTGCACCAGGGATGCCGATTAGGATTTGGAAGAATTTGAGAGTTTGCGCAGATTGTCATCTGGCAATTAAACTCGTATCGAAGGTTTATGACCGGGAGATTGTTGTGAGGGATCGTAGTCGGTTTCACCATTTTAGAGATGGTTCTTGTTCTTGTAGATATTACTGGTAACATCTGCAGCAAGTTGTTTCATATTTGTCAACCTGGAACGATAAAGAGGTGTGGCACGAGCCGCACGGCAAGGGATGAAGCTGCCATTGAAGGTTTGCATTTGACATGCAAAGTTTGGCCGCTTTTTGCCCGGACTTTGTCAGACATTTGCTGCCAATCTGTGGTGCATAGGAAAACGATCAGTCCTGGAAAACAATGGATGCTTTCTAGTGACATTATTTTTGCATGTGGTCCAATATCTTAGTAGATAAGGTGTTGTGTTTTTGTCCTGCATCGCGAGTTCGAAACTCCCCCTCCTCTTGATTAATAATAATAATAATCTTTTTTGAAAGAAAAATTGTCATAAACATATTTCATTTATCAAAAGCTCTGAAGTGTATGAAATGGCCTTTGGTGATGAAGTTTATGCTAAATTGTTAATATTCTTCCTATATGGTTTTTCTTTTGCATATATAGCTATTTATATCTGATGAAATTTGTTTTGGCAATGCCTATAAAAAGAAAAGTTTATGCAAGTGGTGCTTGGAGTCTTCATCTTCAACACACTACGTTTTAAGTTTAAACTCTACCCTCTCTTTTTAGTTTAGATCAGTGTAAATTTCGTTTGTAATAAAAAAAATTATATTAAATAATGATACAACAATTTGTATAAGAAAATGGTATAGGCTTTATGAGTAGTGCTTTTTGCACACATTTCCCATCTCAAACACACGTTTCTAGTTTCATGATCGTTAGATTGAACAATAAAAGTAAAATTGAAGGTCAAGAATAACAGGGAGTGCACATGATAAAAAAGGTGCGTTGAAATCATTACTTTATTTTTTCTCCTTATTTTTTTTTTCTAGCAACGGAAATAGAAAAATAAAGTCCAATTTATGAGAGGGTCTTGAGTGCGGTGTACGGTACGAGGGTGATGTGAGACGAGAGAGAGGGTGGGCCTGGGCGTAGGATTTTTTTTTAGAAAAACTAATGAAAAAAGTGAGAAAATTTTAAGTTTTAACGATAATGACAAAATAAAAGGTAAAATAAATAATACTAGATTTGACTTTTTAGCGTGAAAATGTGATTTTTCGTTAAAGTAAACAGTACCGCGAACTTTTCATTAAACCTCTATTTTTTTTCTTGTTCAGCTTTAGGATGGAAGGTGGTCCGGATGCCGGATCTAAGAATTTCTCCCAGTTTAGCCCTGGTGTACAATTTAATGGATATTCGAAAAAGACGAAAAAGGAAAGACAAAAGAAGAAGGGAGGAAATAGTGCATTCGAATCCGTTAATCCAAACAAGCCCTTAAGTCGAAAATTTTGAAAAACCCGCCACAAGTGCGAAGACGAGCGCGTAAGCTCGGGAGATTTTGGCGGCTTAATTTCAAACGCCGAAGCTTCGTCTTCTAGATCTGCCGCTGCGTTCAACCAATCTCTCTGATCAAAGCAAACAGCAAAGGAAAATGGAGACTCCTCCGGCCCACCTCGAGAAGATCGGCAGAGAACTCAAGTGCCCCATTTGGTATCTCTCTCGCTCTATACCCATATACTCCGATCATATGTGTTAAGATTTGTTTGTTTGATGGGAAAATTATGGAAAATAACCTAGATAAAGAAAACCAATTTTGTGCCCTTCGCTTTCTTTTTGTTCTTGTTATACGTGAAATGCAAAGGACCCATCTGAATAATCCCATGCGGTAATTTCTAAACTATGGTAATTTTCTCGGCAGCCAAACTGACCCTTTACATGATTTTGTCTAGAATCTGTATAAAGATTTGATATTTCTCTTCACTCCGCTAATGGGTTCGATTTTTCCCCATCTGTTTTGCAGTTTGAGTCTGCTGAGTTCTGCGGTTTCACTCAATTGCAATCATCTCTTCTGCAAGTAACCTCCTCCTTCATTGCTACCTGAATGTAAATATTAGGTTTTATTTGGCTGTATTAATACTTGCAATGTGCTTGAACGTATTGCCAGTGTTTGCTTATTGTTTACAGCTGTTGCATTGTGAAGTCGATGAAATCGGGTTCCAATTGTCCTGTTTGTAAAGTCCCATATCGGCGTAGAGGTATGAATCATGATGCTTTTATTTTTGTGCCAAAAAGTTTGAAGGTACTACTGTTTGATGTGAAACCCATTATTCTTACCTTTAATTTTTGTTTTAGAGGTTCGCCCGGCTCCTCACATGGATAATTTGGTTAGTATTTACAAGAGCATGGAAGATGATTTGGGAATTAATATATTTGTCACTCAGAATGCACCCCCAACTAAATCATCAGGTATTATTTATGTACATGCATTTGAGAATGTTACGTTGCAGTATAAAATCTATGAGTACTATTTAAAACAACAGTTATGCAATAATTTTATTTGCAATTTGCATACAGGTTTAGTGTAATCAAAGTATCAATACCAGCATTTTATTTACTGGGATTTCAGTTTTGTTCCCGCTGTTCATAGTGCAATTGTTAATTCCTAAAATGTGTTCAAATGTTCTAACTTTTATTTTCTGACAACATTACTGTTGAGTTGAGTCGATACATTGTGGATGCATCTGTCTGGAATTATTTTACTTTTGTCAGTAGAGTACAAGATATTGACATCATTTGCACAATTTGATTATATCCTATCATACCTGAAGTTTCTCAATCTTCAGTATATAGCACATCAATCATGTTAAGATACACTTCTAGGTGGTTTTTAGCTTTTTGGTTTTACATATACTATAGTTTGACTTGTGCACTTTTTTTGTTTCCATTTGATTTGCTTTTATTTATTACAGACGGAAAACATCATGCTGAAGATGATTTTAGCCACGGCTTTCAGGATAGAGCGCAGAAACAGAAAACCTTAAGAGGAAAAAGATCCAGGAAAACTAAGGCCAACCTGGAAAGTTCTGGTTCTATTTCAATTAAACCTTCATTTCCAAACAAGAAAAGGGTCCAGGTTCCACAGTCTCCTCTTTCAGAAACCCCAACCCGCCATGAAAAGTTAGAAGGTGATTTAATGGCTGATCGAGTGAAGCAGAGTTCAAAAACACTAAAGGAGAAGCCTGTTCTAAATGAGAAGGGAGAACTGGTTCTGTCACCTTTCTTTTGGTTGAATGACAAAGATGTAGAAAATTTGAGTCAGCATTCTTCCGGTGATCAACTTAGCGATCTTCCATCTCCAAATGTTCCCACATTCAGTGATATCAAAGACTCTGATGATGAAAATTCTGTTAGGTCCCTACCGGTAAGTGTATAACCTGTTTCATACCTTTGAAATGAATGCAAGTTTATATCATTTCACTCATCAGGCAATTAAAAAAATGTATATAATTTATTTAGATGATGCCATAAAGTTATCTTAATTGTGGATAATCTCATGTAGGGAGAAGTGCACAGCACATCTTCTAATGCTGCAGATCTATTTGATAGTGAGATGTTTGAATGGACACAAAGAGCTTGCTCTCCTGAACTCTTCCCAAGTCCTGAGATGCAGGTATCAGCTCGTTTTTACCTCATATGTAATTCTCCCTTCTACAAATTCTATTATTGTCTAGTCCTCCAAATTTGCACAAAAAATCTAAGGAAATTGAAATGCAGGTTGCAGACGATGAACACGATAGAGTTCAAGAGAAGGAATCAAAAGAAGTCTCACAAAACAAGAAATCAGATGAACTTTCTGTAAAAAGTGCAAGGTCTAAAAGAAACAAAAAAAGTAATGGAAATATGGATTTTCTGCCAGATCTTCCCACTGCTGGAACTAAAGATGTTAGTCATGAAGTTGTTAGTAATGAATCTGACAAGCGAGTTAGGAAGACAAGGAATCTCATGAAAAGAAAATGTGCTACAAGCCATACAGATCCAGGAACAAATATTAGTGTCACTTCAAAGGGATCTGAGGTATTTTATGAAGAACAAGCATGTGAGAATAACGGTGGTTCTTTAGCTAAGACTTGCAAAAGGAGTAAGAAGGGACATTCATCTGTTGTAACCAAGCCCACATCTGAAAATGTTCATGTCCTCTCTACCAGAGCTGATAGTCGAATTAATGGTGATGAAAATAGGGTAACTGAATCACCTACTTCAATAGGAAAAAATGCTGGCAGTGATGAACTGTCCAGTAAGAAGGCTGGAAATATCTATAAGGAGGTCAATGACAAGAACAAGATTGACCGCCCAGTAAGGTCAAAAAAACAAAAGATGGTCTCCATGAAAAAGACAATGCTTGAGGATGTATCAGAAATACAGAAGCAAGCAAATAAGGATACTCCTACTGAGTTGTCTCCTACAAATCTTCCCACAGATGATAACCAGAAAGCCTCTGAATCCAGGAATAAATCCAGAAAACTTGCTAGAAAAGCCAAGTCAGGTGATCGAGAACTGAAAAGTAAGAAAAAGCTGAAAGCTTCTTCTGATGGCAACTCAAAGGATGATACTTCTGTTGAGATTGGAGAAGGTCATGGGAATGTTAACGAAAATGGAAATGAAACCGCTGAGAAGAGCAAGGACAATCATAATGTTATAACTGATCAATCACCAGTGCAGAAGCTTCTTTCATTTACAAACAATGTGGTTTTGAAGAGATGTGAAGCTGTTCCTAGTAATATCCAGTGTGCTTTCTGTCTTTCATCAGAAGAATCAGAGGTCTTCCTCACTCCCTTCCCTTTATATCCTTTTAGATGACTCATAATTTAGAAACCCTATCTGCACATAAAATTTACCTTTACAATTCAAAGCTGACATTTGTTACCATTGAAATTCTAATTACAGGCTTCTGGAGAGATAGTCCACTATTGTAATGGCAAGCCTGTTGCTGCGGATCACGATGGAAGACTCAAGGTTATACATGTACACAGGACCTGTGCTGAATGGTACAAAGGAAAAAACGATATTCTACAAAATTAACCAAAAACATGATTAATCTTGTGTTTAACCGAATAAATTTTAGGACTGAAACAATTTTTTTTACACAAACTTTTCTGTAGATACTCACATCTTATAAATGCTCAAAAATATATGCAGGGCTCCTAATGTCTATTTTGAAGATGATATTGCTATTAATCTTGAAGCTGAATTAACTAGGAGTCGTAAAATTAAATGTTCTTGCTGCGCAATCAAAGGAGCTGCTCTTGGGTGCTGTGAGAAGAGTTGTCGTAGGAGCTTTCATGTTACCTGTGCAAAGCTGATGCCTCAATGTCGCTGGGATACTGTATGTATAACAAAAAGAAGTGCTATTTCCATTTAATGTTTTCATTATCCATGCTGTATTCTAATTCCCATTGTGTTGAATCAGGATAACTTTGTTATGTTATGCCCCATTCATGCCTCCTCCAATTTGCCAAATGAAAGCCCTGGATCTCAAGCAAGGAGGAAGAAGAATCCTAGAAAGTACGTACAACTTATCCTCGAATATCTAAAGTTTACCTCATGCAAACTCAGATTTTCTAAGATTCTCATTTGTGCCTCTTTCTTTCTCTATTATAGACAACCTAATATTTTCTTTTTGTCAATATAGACAACCTAATGTTGAACGTCCTAAAGTTGCTGCTAAACAAGACAGCAATATCCCCCCAGATCAGAAGTTTTGTGGATCGTCCAAGAAATTGATTCTTTGTTGTTCATCTCTCACAAATGCAGAGAGGGTAAAAGAGCTGCTTAGAGTGCTTTCTTTGTTCCTTTTTTTTTAACTTTTTTTTCCCTTTTCAAAATCAAAATGTTCTAAATTATTTCACTAATCCTTGCTGGTTTGAACTGCAGGAATCTGTCTCTGGATTTGAAAGATTATCTGGACTTACGGTTTTGAAGAATTGGGATTCTAGTGTTACACATATTATTGCATCGACAGATGAAAATGGAGCATGCAGAAGAACCCTCAAAGTTTTGATGGGTATCTTGGAGGGGAAGTGGATTCTGAGTGTGGAGTGTGAGTATTACTGTTTCTGTTTTAAATGTTCTCCCTCAAGTACTTGGACTTTACAATTGTAATGGACTACAGAAGCTGAAATGAGATATTGATTTACATGTTCACATTACTGATAATTGTTTTGCAAGATCTCGCTTTCAGTTCGTAGAGTGGATCAAAGATGTGTTTGTCCGTCTGTTTGTGCAGGGATTAATGCTTGCACAGAAGCAATGAAACTAGTTGATGAGGAGCCTTATGAAATCAACGTTGACATTTATGGAATCAGGGATGGTCCTCGACTTGGTAGACTAAGGCTGCAGAACAAGGTTAGCTTTTCCTCAAGTTTAACTATCATCACGAAAACTTAAGATTTTCATGGCTTCACCATATGCATTGTTAATCTTGTTCAGTACATAAATAGGTTACACACTTAATTTTAACAAACTGTTTTTGGATGCAGCAACCAAAACTTTTTGAGGGGTTCAAGTTTTACTTCATGGGAGACTTCATACCTTCATACAAGGGGTATTTACAAGACCTTGTAATAGCTGCTGGAGGAACGATTTTGCAAAGAAAACCTGTTCCAGAGGGCCCGAAAGCCTTGTCAGCCGGTTCCCCCAAATGTCAAACCTTCATAATTTACAGCCTCGAGCTACCTGACCAATGTCATTGCAGCAAGAAGAGTACAATTTTCAACACTAGGCAGGCTGATGCGAAGGCTTTGGCCACCTCCACTGGAGCCAAGGTAGCAAGCAACTCATGGGTATTGAACTCCATTGCTGCCTGCAAGTTACAAAATCTCTCTGATTCCAAATAGTATACATACTGCAGAAGTTGTGTACATGTTTAGAACTTCTCCAGATCCAGTTTCTTATTTCAAAACCGTAAACATAAATGATTATGTAATTCTTCGTTGCTTCCAATCAATTGTGGTTTTTAATCCTTTCAATGTACAACTCCAAGTTTTGGGAATTTCTTGAATCAAATCTGTGCTGAGCAGTTAAATTGTGTGATGCAGCTGCTGACTAGTTACCGAAACTCTTCTTCACAAAAGAATGCGAGAATTAAAATTAATAAGCGATTCCACACAGATTCAAATATACATCTCTTCATTATCAACTATTGTTATCCAGGATGAACAACGAAACGAGAAGAAAACTCAGAATTATACAACTCTTTCGGGCCATGGTAGATGCAACCTAGAAACCTGAACTAGTCAAATGCACATGAACAACAAATATGCAACATCACTAAATCACTTCTACTTCTGACACATTAGAACTGCTTCCTCGTTTATTATATAAACTCGAAGAATTTTAGTTGTTTTCGTGTCTTGGCAACCGAAAGACAGACTGACAAAACTGCAAAAGTAGAGAGACCAGGCATTTCTGGTTTCTAGTCACCCTTTGTTCTCATGCAACAGGAGGCGAATTAAGTAGTGTCGATCTCAGTGTTGTGTTTTGCACTTTCACCTTTCTTCGACCCATGCTTCGAAATCTTCATACTGAAGCTCTCAAACAGATGCTCCAATGCTGAGATCTCCTCTTCAATATCTGCTGCTTGCTCATTGCTTGTGGCAATCTTTTGCTTGAGTGCGCGTATTCGTTCTAGGCCTTCTTGAACTTCCACCCCCATCTCCTCCATGGTCGAGTGCATCCCATTGTTTTCCTTTTGTGCGTCTTTGATCTTTCTCTTTAAGGATCTACACCCATCAAGGGACTTAAGAAGTTGCTCCGAAAGTGCCTTGTTTCGCTCCTGGAGTGCTGCATTCCCATGAATCTCTACCCCACCACCGGCACACCTCTTCTCCTTGTGCTCTGCTGCACAAGCTTGTACTTTTGCCAACAGCATCTCATTTTGCGCTCGAAGATCATTGATATGTTCCTCCATCCCAGTCAATTCATGAACCTTTCTCGCAAGCTCCGATGCAATAATCTCGTTCTCCTTTCCCAAGCCTGAACACATTATTTCTAGGCTCTTTCGCGCTGCCAAGCTTGCGCTAAGCTGTCTTCTCAACCTTTCTTTCTCATCAATTACTGGCTCCGGAGGCCTTTTGTCCCTTGGAACATTTGGCCTAAGATCTGTATTGCATCGCCGGAGCTCTGCTCTCCTCTTAACGGTTTGAGATTTCTGAATCCGGGTTTTAACATCATCAATTATCGTCATCATTCCCGCCACCCTTTGCATCTTCCTGTCATCATTGTCTTTTGTGCAGGCCTCATTTTGCTCTTGGATTAGCTTTAATAATAACTTCACATTGGTGGCAATGCCTAACCAAAGAACAAAAAGATTACGCAGAAATCAGTTCATATTGCATCCTTTTTGCAAAAGTTTTATTGTGATTTTTTCACAAAAGAATGAGATAGGAAAAATTGTTGTCTTAATTCAGAAATTAGAAAAACACACAATACATGTCATTTTGCAGTGATTTAGTTTTCATGATTAGAAAATACAAGCATTGAAAATTTAAGATTTCTTCAGCAACAATCTTCTGCATATACATACATACATATAATTATACATATAAGGTGTATGTATGTATAGATTACCATCAAAACTATGATCTTCTGGGCGTTCTTTAGAAGCTGTGGAAGAAGCTGGCAACTCTGCAGGAGATGAAAATGCTCGAATCGGGTTCATATTCAACCAGATAAACACGATAAAAACCGATCCTTCGATCCTCAGGGGGAACGGAATGAAGCTACAGACTATACAAGATGTAAGTATGAATCTATATGATACAGTGGAGGATAATTCAAAGATCAAACAGAAGAAGTAATTAATTAATTAATCAAAAGGTTGTTTAGTGTTTGTTGTGATTAAAATTATGCCCTAATAATTTACTAACAACATAAAATATTTCGAGAGATCCAAAAAGAGAGACTGCTTGTGCACTCTCTCTCTCCTCTCTAGCTGTTGGAAAGCAAAACCTTCCTTCTTCTGTTTGTTTGACGTTCCTCAAAAGCTGTCTGTAATATTATTATTCGATACGATTCGTTGGTTTTGGCGTTGGGAGAATTGTTGGTTCTTGGTTGTAAATCATGCGGAATTATCGGTGACGGTTTGACATTTTCTTTGGCCATTGGATGCTTTGACTTCTTATCACACAAAAAATGGGTGGAGTAGTTCCCACTTCCCATGCAGTCAAGTTAATTAGTTTTCCTTTTGTTATTGTTTGCACCTGCATAAACGAGAATCAGCTCCCTTCCTCTCTCTAGCTAATTTGCATGCAGAAAAACTAAAAACTAGAAAAATAAACAGAACCCAAACAGATTGTACAAAAGAAAAGCAGATCTTGGACTCGAGAATAATTAAATGTAATTAACATTACAGTCTTAGTGGTACTTTTTTCTACTTGTAAGTAATATGGGTTAGTTTTAAATCGCATGAATAACGAATTTGATACCTAATTATAACTGACGTATTTTGTGGTTTAGCGAGAGAGAGGGAGAATATGAATAATAGTAATAATAATAATAATAAAAAGAGTCCACCCAAAAGCATGTTACCATATCTGTACCCTAGTCGTGCCTTCTTGACCAATAATGGAATCATATCTCCCAATCACATCCCATACATGTGAAGTTGAGCACCATTAACGCCGCAATTTGTATTCTACCTCTTCTTTTGGCATAAACAGATCCACATAACAGATGTACCTAATCACAAATACAAAAAAGTATACTTATAAGATATCTATTCGTTTATATAAAGTCAGGGTTCGGCGCAAATACAAGTTGGAGCCTCAGATTGCTTAACCCTAACCCTAACTTTGAGTTTGACCAACACTAGGGAAATTTCTTCAGTACCACGTAGTATTGAATGATAAGGAAATGAATGAATGAAATTGAAAATAAAAGATCTAAACAGTTGTATAAATCAAATCTAATGGCTAAAATACTCGTAACACTTTCTGAAACTTTCTACGAAAAAATAAATGTTAAAGTTCAGATTTTTTAGACAGAAGTTGTGATGCAAGACAAAAACAAAACAAGGGAATTTTGGCTAGAATTTCAGTGAGCAAAACATTGCTGCTGCACTGTTATTTCATTCATAGAAACATAATCGTCGGACAAACATTCTTATCTGCAAGAATTGCAGAGGTACACTACCTCGGAGGCAACAGCTGGACCTGTTAACCTCAGCCCTTCACTTGTTCTTATCCTAGCCTTACATTTGTTCTAAGTGACTAGAATTCTACATACTACACGTCCAAAAACTAGCCGTTAGAACTCAAACAAAACTAGCCGTTGTAAAACTTAAACCCTTTTCTGGTCTTGTCTTCGAAACCTCAAGGCTGCAAAACAGCTTACATTCAACAATAAAACAGTATGTAAAAACTTGTTTTCACATACTACGCAAATCTTGAAAATTTTTCCCGAGAATTCCCCTATTTTGAAACTTTCTAGGCTAATATAAAAGTTTAGATACCAAAATTAAACTCGGGATAAAGTTAAAGGTTCATTGCACATTTAATCCAAAAATAAAGATCCTGATTAATTTACAAAAGTTTTGAATATTAGTCTTTCTGAATATAAGACCATTGGTGAAATTTTGTCGTTTACCTTTTTGAACTGCTTTTCGACACTATCTGCTATGAATATATGAAATTATGAGAGAAAACTTCAGCAGCTTTACTTTACCATTCCAAACTTTACTAGCAACCAAAACAGCAGAAAAACCTGATGGGCAAGTGATAAGATCCAAATCTCTAGGCCCTTAATCAACCTGCAAGTAACATAGAGGATAGAGATGGGGAGGGAAGGAAGAGAGAGAGAGCAGAGCTCTTGAATTGTTTTTGTTTATATTTCTTTTGTGTGAATTCTCATCTAACTTTTACATCCAAAGCATGAGCTTATATATAAGTTTCCACTAAAACAAATTGCCAGCTGACAATAACTAATCACTCCCTAATACTCATATTTAGTCTGCTATTACATCACTAATTGTGATCGACATATAGGATCATAACAGCAAAAGACAAGAAAATCCTCCGCCTTAATTTTAAATCCAAATCCAGAACCGCCGGAGGCAAAAGGCGGAACTGGTTGGAACTTCCAAAGGACGTCACCGTTTTGATACTGTCTCCACTGGGAGCTATCGAGATTTTGGAGAGCGTTCAGAGGGTGTGTATGGCTTGGCGCAACATCTGCAAGAACCAGCCTCTCATGTGTCGCACCATCGACATGCACAATGACGGTGATCTCGATGAGATGCCGTACAACTTGGAGAAGATGTGCCGCCTTGCCGTTGATCGCAGCTGCGGTACTCTGGTCTATATTAATGTCGAACACTTCGGCACCGATGATCTCCTTAAGGATATCACTGATAAGTATTTTATTAATTTTCGTTGCTTGTTAAATGTTTGGTTGGTGAGATATATGTTTTGCTATGGTAATTTCCCAAGTTTTTGAAAGGCTTTCAATTTCTCTAACTTAATAAGTTGGGTTTGTGATAATTTGTAAAATACATATGCTTGTGTATTTACTGAGTTGTTCAACCTGGATCCATAATTTACTCATATTAATCCAAATATAAATAAATAAAAAAGACTTTTACTGGTGGACTGGAATTGCTTTTGGAAAAAGCACTTTATATTTTGTTTGGCAGAAAATCATAAAACTGCTTTTGAGTTTTGCTTATTAGAAGAGAGAAACACCTTTTTGAGCTTATTCAGGAAGTACAAACTTTTTACTTCTTTTTAATAAAAGAACTATTAGTAGAAGTGTTATGAGCAGATAAGCAGTCCCAAACGCGCCCCAAAAGATCACATGAATACAGTGATAAGCCCACTTCAGATATTCCTCAGTCAGCACACATTCAAACGGACTCTCCCTCGTCGAGTTTGAGTTCATCTCCAACATTGAAGCGCCACTAAGGGTGGGCATAGTTTGGTTCGGTGCGGTTTTGAGTGAAACCAAAACCGAAATCAAAATTTTTTGCGGTTTGGTTTGGTGCGGTTTTGAAGCCAAAACCAAGATGAAATCAAACCGTTTGGTTCGATTCGGTGCGGTTTCAAACGGTTTCGGTTTGGTTTTTAAGAAAAAATGTACAATTTGCAATTTAACATATTAATAAGCATTTCCTAGTAGCTAGCAATAGAAAAAAACATTTGTTATATAAACAATTAGCATGTTGCATGCAGTTGTGATGTTAAAATATGTTTGTGCAACAAAAGGGTGTCCCGTACAAGGTATAACATAAAACAAGTTGAATAACATTGAATTCATTAAACATGAGCGAAACTTTCATACTAGAATATGCGATATTATGCTTCAAATGAGTGGACTTCATTAGATCATTGTTCGACTCTTGATAACAAGATTATTCCACCCTTGTACATATATGTGTGTGTGTGTGATGGTATAAAATAACAAAGATCCTTCAAGTTAATGAACGAAAGAAACTGATGAATGATGATATTTTAGTGTGGTTGTGTCCATACTAAGTGCATGGATTCTAATAAACAACCAATTAAAACATGAAATTTAATATGGACATTTAATTAAATGTTTATTAATATTTGAGGTGCGGTTCAATTTCAGTGCGGTTTTCAAAAGCCAAAACCGAAACCAAACCGTTTTCTATGTTGCGGTTCGGTTTCAAAACTGAAACTGTTCCAAAACCACAAAACCAAACTGTTCGGTGCGGTTCAATTTGGTTCGTGTTTCGGTTTCGGTTTTCGGTTCTAAGTGCCCACCCCTAAGCGCCACAGTCCATCAGCCACACAACTTTCTCCTATCTGATACTTTCAAATATTTGTATTTATCTCTTCAATGTAACAAACTGATCCATTGTAATCCTATATATATATGAATGAATGAACGAACACTCACTCAGTATCAAGTTGAGCTTATACAATTCGAGTCCTATATTTTCAGTTTCAAATCTCTTTTATGGTATCTCAGAGCTGAAAGTCTAACGACTAAAAGCTTTAATTTTTTTTCAATGGCGTCGAGTTCTAGTCCCTCCAACCCCACTGTTCTCTCCTCTCTTTCTAATGCTTCCAACTTTCTCACTATAAAGTTAGACCGTACCAACTATCCCTTATGGCATGCTCAGATGTTGCCCTTGCTTCGAAGTCGGAATCTGGTGTTTTTTGTCGATGGAACCAACAAATGTCCTCCTGCTTTCTTGCAGGATGATAAAGGCACACTCACTGATGACGTTAATTCTGCATTGGATGCATGGATTCAGCAAGATGCCATGGTGCTTTTGTGGATCAACAGTTCCGCTCATCCTACTGTTCTTGCTTCTCTCATTGGTAAGACAAGTTCATATTCTGCATCGACTTGCTTACGTGAACAATATGCTTCTCAATCTACTGGTCGTCTACTACAACTACGTAGTGAGCTTATGAGTACCCATCGTGGTGATTCACCTATTGCTGATTTTCTTGACCGTATCAATTGTCTTGCTGATACTCTCTCTCTCTAGTTCTCTAGTCTCTGATTCTGATCTTGTTGCTATAATTTTAAATAATGTTGGCCCTGCGTTTGAAAGCACCGTTACTTTTGCACAAGCACGGGATGAGGCTATTTCTTACAGTGCTCTGGAAGCTCTTCTTTTAGGTGCTGAGAGACGTCAAAAGCTCCATACTGTGTTCGAAAATGGACCCACTGCTCTTGCTGTTGGACGGGGCCGTTCCGGTCCTCATCGTGGTGGTGGCGCTACTCGTGGTGGTCGTGGTCCCTTCCATAGTGGTCGTGGTGGTTAGTTTGCTCTTCGGCCCCCCGGCCAAGGCCAACATGCTCCTCACCCTCGCCCTGCTCATGATGGTGTTCTCAGGGCCCAGTAGCCCCTTTAGATTGTCAATTGTTTCATGATCATGTGTTCTTTTCTGGTACAAAAATGTTGAAATTTCCTTTCGACTAAATATGTCGATGTAGAAATTGTTTTTGGGTGTACTGTTTTTGTGCGTCTAAGTAACTAACTAATCTAAAAAATTTCAATAGTTGTCGTGGCATCATATGCTTG